GGAACGTAGAGTCTTTATTATTAATCTTTAAATTATAATACTCGTATTAATACCATTAATTAGAAGAGGGGAAGTATTTTGTAAATTTTTTATTATTAAATTTTAAAATCCACAATCAACAATTGAGAGGATAGATTTTTAAAGTTAGAAAAATGACACTGATTAGATGTCAGATAGCTTTGTTATTTGATTCAAATAATCAGGATAGGTTTAGTTAAAATTATTATTATGAATATTAAAAAGAGTAACATTAGAATTTTAGATATTCAAAAAATATGAGTTGGTCTAGCCTAAAATATTGATTAACTCTCCTTCATAGAATAGAATCTAATTTAATAAATTCTAATTTTCTGGTTATCTGAATATTGATTTAAAAAAAAATTTAATATTATTTTTAATTTTCATTATTTTATGGTAATAACTTTATGTTAATAAATATTTTTATCGAATCCATCGATTAAATGTGCAACTGTGCTCAAAAAAAATTAAAATTTAAAAAACTCGCACTAGGTGCTTACAAAATTAAAATTTTTAAGTCCGCAATTTTTAAATTTTTGATTCCACACACTAGTGTGCATTTATAGAAAGTTACCATTTTTATCTTAAATTAAATAATTTACATTATTGAAATCGCGGAAGAATAAGAACTAAGTGTATAGATATTACTAAAGTTAGATGATTTACATACAAAATTTAAATTTGAGTTTTGTGAATTTATGTAAAATGCACCACCATCATTCTAAGCATAACCTTCTGCAAATGAAGATTTTTCTATAAAAATATTTGTTTCTGAACTAAGATTCTCTAAGTAAATAAACGAGCCTTAGCTTGCTGTGGATTGACTAAAATTTGAAGAAAGAATTTACAAATTGTTTGATTTAGCCCTTAAGCAACCTCCTTATTATATTAAAGTTGTTATATTATCTGTGATATTAAATGAAGATTTCTTGCAATTAGCATTAATGATAGTTATATTAAGACCAACTATATATTGAAAATTAAAGATACTACTAGATACTGAATTAATATATTGGTTATTAACTAAATATATTGAACCTAATGGATTAATTACCTGAATTGCAGAAGTTGAATACGTTTCGGTATTAGGAATTGCATTTAATCTATTTTAGCTAAAAATTGAGTTGCTTATTGTTATATTAGAAGTATAAGTGGAAGTAATTAAAATTGGATTAGCTTAGGAGTTAGTTTAATTTTATTCAAAATATGAATTTGTGATAACTACATTTGATAAATTTATTACTGAATTTGTGTAAGCTTAATTTTTTATTACTAAAATAGAATTACTTATTGCTTTTATATAGCTTGATTGTAGATTAGTTATGATAATCTTTTTTATTTCATTGAAAATTAAACATCCACCATACTCTCTATTGACTAAACTATCAAAAAATTTTTTATCATTTAAGCAAGAAATATTGCTAATTGAGACTAGAGAAGATTAGGATAATGAACAAAATGCTATTTCTTATTGGTTTTTTAATGTAACTTCAGTTATTAAAACTGAAAAAATTTGTTCAGTTAGAACTAATTAAGTAATTCCGAGGTTGATATCTGATTAAACTTAAGAAGAGGGAAAGTAAGAATTATCAGTGAAATTTAAATAACTCATATTTAAAGTGTGTTAGGGAAGAGGATTTATTGAATAAATAGCATCAAAAAAGAGATAATTGTGTGTTGTATAAAATGAGTTATTGTACATAGTTATATTCTAGAACTAAAAGGTATAATTTTTTTGTTCGATTGTGCTGACAGTTGAGAATATCTATAAATTACAAAACTGATTATTGGATATTGTCATATTAGCTACATTGAACTCACCAGCTTCAAATAGCTAACCAGAGAATTGTGGATAGTAAATTTAATTTATGTCACATAGATTATTTTAAATTACAAAAGTATCAATAATAACATTAACATCACTCTATTAGGTTAATATACTGAAATTTTCACTTAATTTACAGCTATCAATTAGAATATTTTAAAGTACAATCTATTTAATATGATAAAAATATTTCATTTTTAATTTAAAGTTTAAAAAATTACCTATTAAGAATTAACGATTGTTATTAAAGTTGATTTATTTGAAAAATCTAAATTTTTTATGTTTATATTTTTAATAATCAAGAAAGAACTATTTATTTAAAAAAAGAAGCAGTCAGATGTATTAACTGTAGAAGATATACTTATGTTATCTATAGTAGCACTTGAAATTATACCATAGAAATAGAACCCACACTTTTATTAGGAGCTACTAATAATAAAATTAAAAAGTATATTATCAATGTTTAGCATAAAGAGACCTGAGAATTGGAGCAACGAATTTATATTAATTTAAGCTAATTGATTATTATTCCAACTCTAAATTGTTAAATTTGTTTATGCAAAAACTTACAAAGTTAGCAGTTCATTGTAAAATACCATCTCATTTTAGTTGCTAAGTAATAAATTAACGTTTAGAATTTCAAATCCGTTTATTAATTCGAAATATTATTAAGCCTATTTTAAAAATGAAAAAATTATTTTTAAATAGAAAAATACTTTGGTAAAATATTTATTTTAATCTAAAGATTTATTTACTATAAGTAAAGATGAAATTATACTCAAAGAAGATGTAAAAGGCTATTCAAAAGAACCTATCCCATATAGACTTTTAGTATCAGCAATTTCAGTAGTATTAAAATAAAACTAAATTTAGCATTTCTAAGTACAACTAGGCAAATTTTAAAGACATTATCCAATAGGGAAAAATGTATTACTATAGTAATACTAAATAAATAAAACCTAAGTATTTTCTATATACTAAATATTATTTGCAGCATCTGTTAAAGAAGGAGACTGGAAATGCATAAATAATTCAAATTATTAAGTAATTGTATTTAATCTACATACATAAACATCTCCGCTCATTTAATCTCCAACTCCAAACATATTAATTTTATTGAATACATTTAAATAGTATGGATTGGACTATAGCTTCATTAATGGTTAAAATGTTTTTTTAGAGAAATTATAGATAATTATATTGTAATCACCACAAACTATTATTAGAAATTTATTATCATCAGTATGGAATAATTAACCAATTATTGAGTCAGAACAATCGGATGCTTTTTATCAAAATTAATTTTTTAAATAAATAAATTTAAAAATTTTTTAAATATTTTATTATTATTATTTTTTTAATTAATGAAAAAAAACTTTTAACTTGTTGGGATAGGATTTGATATTTCATTAGTTTATTTACACTAAAATGAAATTAATTCCCATTTTGAATTTTATGTTTGATTTTATTGTAAGATTACCTATTGAGTATTTGAATGAAAAGTCTGTAGAATTCCAAACAAAAATACTTCCACTAAAAGCTATTCCAACAATTTCTTAATCTTCTTAGGAATAGAGAGCATAACTTGTTATTTGATTATTTTCTTCTACTATATCAGAGAACAATTTAAATGATTATTAAGAGGAAATATTTATAGCATAAAATAAGAAATTTTCATTATTTTATTTATAAGGTAATCCTACAATAACCCAATTAAATTGATTAATATCTTAGTAGGGATCAACATTGAAGCTTATTAAATCAGTATTCAGTTTTATCTAAGGTAAATAGTAATACTATTTTTATAATTATAATAACTTTAATATTTTTGATTAAGATAGAAAGAAAGAAATAATAACTTCAGAAGTGAATGATGAGTCCATTACTTTATAATATGTTATGTAATTATGATGCAATACAAGAAAACATGTATTACAGTTTTTTACAGAAAAAAATGAATTTTATCTTTATTTGATTCCAATAAGAAGAGGTAACCTAATGATAGATTTAACGTTACTTGGAGAATCTTTAGTGACTAAAATTTCATATTATGTAGCAGCAGCAAAGTATATTTATGAATTGAGTTAGAAACTAAATATTTTTGTATAACCTACAGAAAGAATATCTTAAATTTTATAGTATAATGGTTAAAGTAAATTTATTTTTGAAATTTTATTTTTACTAAAACGAATGAGAGAAGTGTTTGTACTATATGAATAAACAAATACAGCTGATTATGTAATCATTCCAGTCCAGTATCCCATTACTATTTATTGACTTTCTTCCAAATGATACCATTCTTAAGTTGGACTTCCTGGTAGTTAAACAGTGAAAGGTTGATTGATATTAGCAAAGCTAAAAGAATCAATTATATTTGTATTCTATTTATAGACAAAATTTAAATCTAATCTATAAATAAACCTCTAGCCACCTAGATATAAACTGCCTTAACTATTTTAAGAATTTATAAAGGTTAAACTGGCTACATTATCTCCTGATTGAACATTTGGTAGATCTATTTTTTAAAGTTTTAAGAAATTTATAATGAAAATTATTAATATATTTAATATACAATTAGTCGTAAGTAATTGTATCTAATTCGTTTATAAATTAATGATCTAGAAAGCATAGATTATTTATTGAACTCCTGCTAAAAATATAATATCATAATCCTTGGAGAATTCTATTACGTTGTTAATAGGACCTATAAAATAAAATAGAGTGAAATATTATACTTTAAAAGACTTAAAAAATTAGTTATACCATTAACTACAAAATATCCATTGAATGAGAATGCTAAAGTTTTTAAATTAATTGACCAAGTATAAGCACCATACTAATCAATTGCTGCTATAAAAGTTTAACCATTTTAAAGCTAAAATAACTTTGCATTAGTAATAATATTATTACTGGCAGAATTATAAGGTAAAATATTCAAAGATAGAATTTATTTTCCTTCTATATAGTCAACAACATATAATACATTAATCCAACTTTTTACGACACAATAATTAGTTCCTTTCATGAAATACATAGTATCTACATTGGCGAATGGTAGTGCTTATATAGATTCAAGAGTATAAGGATCTGCGTATATTAGCTATTCTTAATTCAGAACTAAAATTTGATTTCTTTATAGAATATACTCCATTTGTAATATAATGTATTTAGCTTTTATAAAATAAAATTTGTTTTAAAAAAGTATAAACTATTTATTTAAATTTACGTTTAACCACATTCACAATATTATCAATTTCACTAGAAATATCATTGTAATATACTATACTCTAAATCTTTTAACCATTTGCAGACTTTATAGTGTTTATCAAAAGTAAATTAGTGTTAGGCAACTTCAAAAAACGATAAATATTATAGTTCTCAGAAAATCTAGGCTCTGTTTTTTAAAATTTATATCATAATGAATTAAAATATTAATTTAATCTTACGGTGCTGCCTAGAAAATGCTTAACATATTTAAGCATTTAAGTTTTGTAATGATTACAATAAGATTATGACTGTTAAATTCAAAGTAAAGAATGATTTATTCATACTAATAGATATTTTTCAACCTTCTATTATTACTATTTTTAATTCAAATATAGGTATGAGATAAGATTATTGAATTATTTCGTGGAGAGTTTTTTAAATAACTTCAAATGTTTATCGATTATTATTTTTGATGTTTCTTATTCTTTTCTTTTACTATTTTTAATTCAAATATAGGTTTGAGATAAGATTATTGAATTAATTCGCGGAGAGTTTTTTAAATAACTTCAAATGTTTATCGATTATTATTTTTGATGTTTCTTATTCTTTTCTTTACTTTTAATTCAAAAATTTGAGATAATATTATTGAATTATTTCGAGGAGAGTTTTTAAATAACTTCAAATGTCTATCGATTATTATTTTTGATGTTTCTTATTCTTTTCTTCTACTATTTTTAATTCAAAAATAGGTTTGAGATAAGATTATTGAATTATTTCGTGGAGAGTTTTTTAAACTACTTCAAATGTTGATCGATTATTATTTTTGATGTTTTTTATTCTTTTCTTTTATTCTTATATCTCAAATTAAGGATTTAAATGTACACTTCTATTATTGAAATTAATCTAAAAAAACTAATAAATATTCTTTCAACCTTCTTTTATTCTATTTTTAATTAAAATATAGGTTTTGAGATAAGATTATTGAATTATTTCGTGGGGAGTTTTTTAAATAACTTCAAATGTTTATTGATTATTATTTTTGATGTTTCTTATTCTTATATCTCAAATTTAGGATTTAAATGTAAACTATATTGAAATTAATTTAAAAAAACTAAAAAATATTCTTTGAACCTTCTATTATTCTATTTTTAATTCAAATATAGGTTTTGAGGGGATAATTATTGATTTATTTGGTGGGGAGTTTTTTAAATAATTTCAAATGTTGATTAATTACTATTTTTGATGTTGATTATTATTTTCTTCATATATCTCAAATTTAGGATTTAAATGTACACTTCTATTATTGAAATTAATCTAAAAAACTAAAAAATATTGCTTCAACCTTCTATAATTACTATTTTTAATTCAAATATAGGTTTTGAGATAAGATTATTGAATTATTTCGTGGGGAGTTTTTTAAATAACTTCAAATGTTTATTGATTATTATTTTTGATGTTTCTTATTCTTATATCTCAAATTTAGGATTTAAATGTAAACTATATTGAAATTAATTTAAAAAAACTAAAAAATATTCTTTGAACCTTCTATTATTCTATTTTTAATTCAAATATAGGTTTTGAGGGGATAATTATTGATTTATTTGGTGGGGAGTTTTTTAAATAATTTCAAATGTTGATTAATTACTATTTTTGATGTTGATTATTATTTTCTTCATATATCTCAAATTTAGGATTTAAATGTACACTTCTATTATTGAAATTAATCTAAAAAACTAAAAAATATTGCTTCAACCTTCTATAATTACTATTTTTAATTCAAATATAGGTTTTGAGATAAGATTATTGAATTATTGGTGGGGAGTTTTTTAAATAACTTCAAATGTTTATTAATTATTATTTTTGATGTTTCTTATTCTTTTCTTTTATCTACAATATATATCTAGAAAGCTACCTCTAATAAAAATAAAGTACCTTCCTCAAAATTTTTAATATAAAAAATTTAAAGTATTTTTATTTAAATTATGTAAGTATAAAAATATTTTTACCATTTTAATTTTATAGTTTATTATCTCTTTCAAAAAATAATTCGAACATCTATTTTATTGATAAAGTAAATTCAAATTAATAAAAATTTGAATTACTGTTTGAATGCTTTTTTTTATTGGATATTTGATAGCTTTATTAAATATATGTTTCTATAATTAAAAAAAAGTAAACATTTATATATTAATTATATTAAAAAGAAAGTAAATAAAATGAACTAATTAATTATTATAATATTTTAAAATTCATTAATAATATTTAAAAGACAAATATTTAGAAACTTTTTTTTATTTAATTAGTTTCATTCTTTCTTTCTGTATTGGGATTAAATATGATCTACTAAGAATCAAAAAAATGTTTTGACTTTCTTCTTCTATTCGTACTATCTAGGTTTTAGTTTATGTTTTTTTTATTTGTTTGAGATAATTACTGTTCAACTTTTTAGATGTTTTTACTGCTTGGCTGTGTAGATTATAAATTATGACTACTCTTGTAAATGCTTTAAGAAAAAACAGAGTTCTTTTTTCTTCTATTTATTTACCAATTTATTTATTTTTAAGAATTAATTTGTGGCTGGCCTTGTACATTAGGAGTTTGGCAGATAATATTAATTGATTATATTTCTTCGTTATTATCTAAGTTCTTATCCAGATTGTTATTATTAACAAAATTATAATCCATTTTTTTGTTAAGTTATAAAGGTGAGGATTTTAAGATAGCTGGTTATACCTAAGATTTACTCTTTTTATTTTTAATGTACATTACTAGTGATTTAACTAATTAATAAATAGATACCATGAGATTTTTAATAATAAAAATAGTAATGTATGCTATTAAAAATCCACTAAAAGCAACAATTAATTATCCATCCAATTTTCATTCTTGTATCTTCGTTTCCATCTTAAATATCCTTAATTAACAACGAAGCACAAATTTAAATGGCTATCATTAAAACTTCTTAATAACCTACCACATCTGATAAAGATGCTTTAACATCAATTTCATAGCAAAAATTTTAATTTTAATTAGCCAAAACACCTAATTTTTTGAATGAAAACTCTTCTTAGTTTTCTCAACAATATAATTCAAGACAAAATCATAATAGTAATTAATGAGAAAAGCTATCAATAGTGGTCAGAGAAATTGAAAGAACCCACTCTCCAACTAAATCATCTCAAGAAATACAAATATTATTTAATTTTGGAATGAATCAAAACAACTATTTTTAAAGACAAATTTAAAAAAATAAGTAAGACTTTATGTTATCCCCTAAAAATTAGCTCCTAAAAAATAATTAAAAGAAATAAGATAATTAGCAAATTTAGAATAATTTTAAAACAGATTAACAGAATTTAAATTGTAATTAAGAAAATTAAAGTTTTAAAGAATCAAATCAAAGCTTTAAAGAAAGCTTCAAAGAAAGCTTTAATGAGTTTGATTTATTTTTTTTAAAGAATAAAGCACAAACATTTATTAAGGACAACTAAATATTAGAGAAGATAAACAAAGTACATATGATATAAATTAAAGTGAAAGTGAAGCTAGTCTAGATTAGCATCAATTTAAACTAAAAAGCGAAAGTAATAATTTTTTTGAAAATGTTTAATAAAATTTAAAGCAAGTAAATAATTAATAGATATCTTATTTTATTTCTAATAAAGCCCCTAGTTATTTTGATTAAGAAATAAAGTAAAGTGAATTATATGTTTCTAATGCATTAGTTTAAGATGAGAATTTTGAATAAAATAGATAATTTTAGTAATAAAATACAGGAAATGTTAGATTTTTAACTCCACAACCAACGCTCAAAGCTCTACAAATTATGAAACTATTTCTTATCATATTGGCGATTAATTTTTTAACTTTCCTCATTTTGTTACCAATACTGAAACAATCAATACAAATAAATAGAGTTAAAAACACTATCTAACTAACACCATTCTCGCTAAAGCAATAATAATTTTAGTTATCAAAATAAAATAATTCTATTCTTGCTAGTATCAGTAAATTTAAAACTGAGTACTAAGAATTATAAAACGATGCCAATATGTGAAATAAAGTTAAAAATTAGAATCATTATTAGCTAAAACAGAAGATTCTAATCATTAAATAGAATAAAATCAAAAAAGAAAGTTTTTTGGTCCAGTAAAGGAAAATAGTTAATTAAATCTTTTGTAAATTGAATAGCTCATATTATATTCAACATCAATAGTAATAGCAAAAATAAATATTACAAACCAAATTTTGAAGATTAAAAGTTTGATTCTTATATTTAAAGCCTTTCAATATAATTATCATAGAAAAAGAAGATATTGCTGATCTACAATTGAATTTAGCAGATAAAGGAGTTCAAATATCACCACAATAATTAAAAAAATAATATCTAATAACTTTAAAATGAATAAATGAAGTAAAAGCTTAAAAAGGCATTAAGTATTATTGAAAACTTTTAGCTATTCATTAACAATTTCGCAAAGTTAAGACAATGAAAAGCTAAGCAAATAAAAAAGAATTTTAGCTAATCAGTTAAACAAACTGAAAAATTAATTACAAATTATTAAATCAAAAAAACTCATTAAAAAATATAATTTTATTATCACACAAATTCATAATTTTAACAAAAATTTTAATTTAGTTTACATTTTTAAAAAATATATTTAATGTAAATACTTATTGTATGTATGTATGTATGTATGTATGTATGTATGTATGTATGTTTGTTTGTTTTTTTGTTTGTTTGTTTGTTTATTTGCTTATAATTTTAACTCTTTATTTAAGAAAAAAATATATCATTAATAAATAACTTTATCGAAAGTTATAAATGAAAATAACAAAAAATTTAGGAGAAAAGCTTTCAAGAAAAAGAAACTAAACAAATCAATTTTCAAATAAGTATTTATATGTTCATGAATAACTAAAATAGCATATTTTTTATTAGAAATAAACTAATTAGTTATTATTATTTGATAGATATTCTTTTCAAAAGTAATTTAATTTTACTTCTTTGTAAAAGTTAGCTTTAAATTTGGTTTTATATGTATGGTTTATTATTTTAGAATTAGCTCATCAACCTCATTTCAATTTCTTTTTCTTTATTGCTAAATTAAATTATTAAGAAATATTTATATTACCTCAAATATATATTTTTGCAGAAGCTGAAATTTGAAACAGGTTTTGTATAACACCTCTATATAAATTATTTTACATTTAAGGATTATCTTCAAGCAGATCAATCAAGATATCTATTTATTCTTCTAATTACTTCTTCACTTATTATTCTTTTTCTACTAAATTTTTAAAACATTAAAGACAATCTCTATCATTAAATTGTAAAATAAATTATAATATTAAAGGTGAAAGAATTTCAACAATACAATACTATCACCTATAACTATGCATTAATACATTGATAAGTCCACATTATAAACGCCATGTATTTATTTTATTTGGACAGTTTTTTTATTCATTTTGTATTTTAATTTGATAGTTATCCTTTATGATATTTTGTTGCTTCTAATTTTTGTTTTCCTGATCAAAATAAATTTATTAATTATTTAATTGATCATTGTATACATTTTAAATGATTGACCATTAAGATTGATCTATAACTTTTACATTCGAAGAAAGATATTAAGAATAAATAATTGAAAAATCATTTTCATTTTAATTTGAGAATTGTTAAGAAATATTATTTTATATTTATATTAATTCAGTTTATATTTATTTAAAATCAGGTCTTTTTTTAGGATCTTTTAAAAGGCATCTTATCACCAATTTACTATATTATAGTGAATAAGTGAATTAAAAATCTATTTTTAATCGCCTTTAAATATTTACTAGCAAGTAAACATTTCAAATAAATTTAATCCAAAAGACCAAACATCTATCTTATCACCATATTTTAATCCTTTCTTCTAAGCAGATAGTATTATTTCAGGAGCCATATAATTTGGTGTTCCTACTAATTATTTTAAATCTCTTTTTTCCTCTTTAGTTAGTCCATAATCTGATATTTTAGCAACAATTTTTTTTCCATCATTATGGATCAATCAATATATTTTCAGGTTTTAAATCTCTATGCGCTAGGTTTAGTTCTTTTAATATCATCATGCCTTTAGTAATTTAGATTACAATATCTATAACTTTTATTGCTTATTCCAAAGTCTAAACTTCTTGTTATTTTTTAAAGAGATAATTGTAGTAGATAATAAAATATGAGATAGTTAAATTGTATTATAACAGCACCACTTAAATATTTGTATAATTTTAAATTTAAATAAATTATCTATAAATTAGTTAAAATACTATAGTCAAGTAAAAGAATAATAAATTTTTATATAGAAATATTGTAAAATTATTTTGAAAAAAATATGAAAAAAGAAATATAGATGATATTTGGAAAAGTAGATTAATGAATATTAAATATATCTAATCTAAGTTAAAGCATGAATCTTAAATTAATTAATTAATTCGATTCCTTTAGCTCTTAATAAATAAATAATTATAAATAATAAAATAATATTAAATTTTCCTTAATAGTTAATTAATGAAGAAAATATTAATCTAAATAGTAGATATTTAATAATTGATAAAAATATCTTGTTGGTAAATATTCAAAAATTAATTTGTTTATTTATTCTAATATTTGAATTATAAAAGTTGAATAAATATTTCAAAATTATTTATTTGGTTTTTATTCAATTCAAACATAACTACTACCTAATAAAATAAATGAAAATTAAATTTTATAAATTTTAAACTATATATTTAAGTTTATATCATTAAATTTTAATTTAATTTTAAATGAATTATTAATAAAACTATTTAGAAAATTAAGTTTTAATTCAAAATAGTGGTTGATTTATGATATGTTTGTTATATTTCTATTATGTTAATTATTTATATATTAAATTAATTAAAAAAAAACTAAACCCAAAATAATATTAAATATCACAATATTTTTTGAAAAAAATAATATTATAAAAACATTTTAATTTTTTTTGTCTTTGAAGTAATATTTATTTATTTATTTTAAATTCTATAAATAATATTCTTAAATAAAAATAATTTTACATACAGAACAAATAAAGCTTAATATTTAATATAAAGATATTATTAATAGGGAAAAATAAATTTTAAAATTGATAAATCTTTTAGTTAAAAAATATTAAATTATATGTATTATTAATATTTAATAATAATTTTCAGATACTTAACGTATTATCTATTTCATATTCAGTAAAATAAATTAAATTATTATTTTTATCCACCTGGTTAACAGAATTTAATTTTATTTATTCATTAGAGTTATCCTCTTTATCTTTTTAACTCTCTTTCTAATCCATTGCTCATTTTAATTCTTCGAATCCTAATATTTAATTAAAAAATTTAATCATTAAAAAAAAACAAAAATATATTTTACACTAAAAAAGAGGAGATTAGTTTATCTATCTGCTATATACAGTATTTGGGTTATTTTCATTATCTTTATCAAAGTAATCGGTTTCAGAGTTTAATTTTTGTTAATTTTTAATAGCTAAGTATTTTTGTTTTAATTTTATTAACTTAATAGAGTTATCCTCTTTATCTATTTAACTCTCTTTCTAATTCCTTACTAAATTTAATTCTTCGAATTCTAATTAATATTTAATTTATAAATTTAATGATTAAAAAAAAAATATTAAAAATATTACATAAAAAAATAGGAGATTAGTTTATCTTGATGGTAGATACAGTATTTGGGCTACTTATATTATCTCTATATAAGCAATCTCTTTCAGAGTTTAATTTTTGTTAATTTTCAGTAGCTAAGTCATTTAGTTTATTTTATTTAATAGTTTAATTCATCTATTAATCTTTAAATAGTCTTTTATGATTTTTACCTATAAATTAAATATATTAAATATAACAAATAACAAGAGTTTTAATACCTATTTATATCTTTATACCAGATAATAAAAGATCATACTTTTGTTCTTCACTGAGATTTAAAAATTCTTAAAAAATTCTTTTTATTTTAGCTTTCAATTATGGATTTAATTTTTATTTTTGATACTTTTGAACAAGTGACTTTGTATAAGAAAATTTTTTAAAAAATGAAATGATAACATTCTTAAATTACATTAAAAGTCCTATAATAACTCTTTTAATTATTACAATAATAAACCAAGCATTGATTGTGATCATAATAACTATAGAAGTGATAACGAAATAATTGAAGGGATTATTGTTAATGAATAAACAAAGTAATAAAGAAACTGCACACACGTTTGTTTAATAGAAATCAACTGTATTGTACCCACTCAAAAGATAGGGTTATAAAACATTAGACGATATCCCATAGAGAGTAATCACCATAAAAATTAGCACTCCTTTAACATTAATATCTTGGGAATAGAAATTAAGAACTATAATGATTAAAATTTTTTCTAACATTTTCACAAATTCCCAATAAAATATTTGGCTTTTATACTCTCTGTATAAAAAGCCATATTTTTTATATATTGAAATGTTTTGCAAGTCATTTTTATTTCTGTATAGTATATAAAAAAGTCCAATAGGTATAATAAAAGCAAACACTAATAAGCAAGGAGCTACTAAGGTAGAACTATATCTCTAGTGCTGGCTAGTGTTGCATTCATAAGTTATATTATAGAGTATATAACTAGAATCTCCAATTACCCTGCATGATAGAAGAGCTATCATTTGAGAAACTAAATCAGGCTAAACTAAAATAAATATGAAGATCGCAGCAGTACAAATAGAATAATAACGGACTTTTATATTTGTAAATAGCCTTTATAAAATTAAACTAAGTATAAACACCATTAAATAGCCAATTGGAACAATTAGAGTAAATAGTAGTTTAAGATATATCATTGGTATATCTGTTTATATATCTTTTAATATACATTCAACGGAATTCATTTATTATCTTACAGGTGTTCCTAAATACTATGAACTATCAAATATATCTTTTGTTTGATAAAATTTTAAATATTATTTTCATCTTAAAAAATTTAGTTTTTTTAAATAAACAATCTTGATTGATAAATTAATAATTTTAAAATTAAAAAATTTTAATTTTTTTACCTGTAGTTAATTTTATATTGAAAGTAATAATTGATCCTATTATTTGTAAATAGTTAAATAATACTTTAATATAAACACTAGCTTTTTCTCCATTTAGAGATTTTTTATCTTTATGGTTATCATATTTGACATTTAATTTAGATTAATATTTAGTCACATTTAAGGAAGTGCTTTGATTATTCTTTAATAAGTGTCTTTTCAGAGCTACTTAAAAAGCATTTATTGTTTATTCCTCTAAGTCTCCTTTTATGGCAAGTCGAATTGAAAATAAAGTCCAGATTACTATTAAGATTGCTTTCCACAATAAAGCACTCAATTCTTTACATTACCCACATTAATAAGATCCAACTTTAGAATAGCTCTCTCCCCAATAGCTTCCATAAATCTTATTAATTTTAAATTTATTGTTAAAGTAATATTTAAAAAATTGTATTTACATCACATTATTCACATAGAGGTCCTATGTAACCTTCTAAGCATACTTAATTACCATAAGTATTTCCAATACAGTTTGAAGGCTTATTTACACATTCTACAACAAGAGGACTACTTTCATCTTTTCTCCAGAATCCTTAATTTACATATATAATTCCATTTTTGCATTTTGCTCCAGAAGGACATGAATAACATTATTGTGTATCGAGAGAGTATTTATCTTATTCACAGACAACACATTCTGTAAATGTATTGTAAAAATTCTCAATTTCACCATAATTACAACTTCTAAAATAAACTTCTAATTCATAAGAATAGTTAGACTCAAATTAATTAGTTTATTTATTTAAAATTTTTATAACATCAGATTTGAACTCAATTATTGCTTATGAATTTGGAATCCCTATTAATTACATACCTTAAAATACAAATTATTTCTATTTTAAATCAACAAATGCTGTAGAATTTCCTCTAATGTAATAATTTGATATATTTTTTGTTTTGTTACTAAATTATGCTTAAATTATTATTTTATCAGCGTCTAAAGGAAATATTGGTTTAGCTGTTTAATCTTTTAGCTAAATCATTATATCTGGAATTTATCCTCCACTTTTAATATTTGATAAAATTAAAGAATTAGTTGAATAATTGAAATATTTATTTAAATCTGTAGTCATGATCAAACCTAAATGATCAGGATATGAATTGATATTATCTCCATAAAGAGTAGCCTAGTTATTCAATATAATGCTTTAAGAGTCTATAACTGGATTTATACCTACATTATTAATGCATCCTCCAATAATTGCTTAGTTATTTGATAGATTTGTTTTTTAAATTTTGATCTATTACAGTGCTGTTGATTCACTTTCTGAGTAAATAAATAAAGCCCCACCACTCCCATTTAAAGATTAATTGTCAGTAATTTAGCAATTA